CCAAGCTCAGATGGAGAGAAGAGCAAATTACAGTAGAGCTTATTAATTGTGGTTTATTTCTTTTTAACTCAAGGAACAGAGTACTGGTAACACACATGGCATGGCAAATCATACGAACTCCTGTTCTTGGGTTTTGCAGTTGAAATGCTAAGCTCAAATTTGATCAAGAGATTCTGGTTGCTTGTCATACTTGTCACTGAGAATGGCACCTAATGTTGATAGAGTGTATTTCAGCATATTTTGGAAGGTATAAATTCAGATTTCACCAGCGCAGGTTATGGCTTTAAAACTAGCTTCTGCACTAGCTAAATCATATGTTACCAAGGTGAGTGGCTCTTTAGGTGCAGTCATCCCCAACTTCACTTACTCATACAACAAATCAGACCAAACATCCCTTAGGTGCAGTCCCACCATATTCAGGTTCTTATTAGACAAAAAATTTTGTGAAGGCCTGCTGGAACCCGTAGAAATACACGTTTTGGTGGCTTTGGGAGTTTTATGGAAATTTATGGGAAATGCAAAGTAATGTCAAAATTGGCAGCAAATGAATCGTTTGCTTAAGAATGTTCCTTGAATGCTTGGTAAGGGTTAAAGACCCAATAGCAGCAAATCTGTGCAACTGTTTCAGTGCTCTCCTCGTTCTATGTCTTTGACATTATGGATCCAGGGCGTTTTATACAGCTCATGTGTTTTTAAAAATATACAGGAGATGCAGTGTTAAACGCCTGTTGTAAGGGAAAGGAATACCTGTTCTGTTTGTGAAAGACATTTTACCTGGATAGAGTCCCTCTTGTTTTTTAAATTAGCAGGTATCAAATATGCTGAATCTATCCTTATTGTCCTATCACACAGCAACAGAGATTTTATTCAGATGTTGAAGTGGGCAATCTGTGCTCTGGCTACAGGTAGTCTCTGGGTAAAGAAAACTTACAATGCAAGAATGAATTTTTGTTAAATTCACCTTGTGGGTATACAATGTATGCTAATAAAAACCAGATAAAACTGATCAGTCTGGGCAGATATTTCACTAGGGCTTGTACCGATTTTGGCCAAACTAATTCATTTATAGTGAATTCATTTATTCCTTCATGATACTCTATGGTACCACGAGACAGACCCTTTTTTTCAGGAAAAGGCAACCACATAATTTTTGTGTTCTTTTGGTCTGATTGTTTCTAACAAATGATAGGGAATTTGCACATCATAAACCAACATCAGTCATCTTTAATTTGCATTATCATTCAAGACATGCCCATAGGTGAATTAATTATGTAAAAATACATAATTTATAACACATTAATATCAAAATATTAAGCATAGATATGTTTACATTTTTGCACTGCACACTTTTGAAATAATAAAACATAATAAAGTACGAGTGGGTTGGTTAACAAAATAGCTATTTATTTCTTGCATATTAGCCATATGAAATGCATATATATAGCACATAAAGGATGATTGCTTTAATAAAATTCCTTGGTGCTGTTTTATGCCATCATACCCAGTGTGGTGTTTAAAGAGGACTACACCAGTGTATTTATTTCACACAGTACCATGTGCCTACAGAACACTGTCTATTCCCAAGGTAAATGGTTAAAGAGGTACTTATCGCAGTGGGAGAAGATAAGTACAAAAAACACGATATAAAATAAGATTATTTAAATGCAGAGCAGAGAATAATAACTTTTTTCTTCTGTCCTTTAGCTGTTTCTCTGCTTTTGTCTGGAACAGTCTGAACTTGAGTTCACTATTACTGGGTCAATTAAATTTAAAGTGACCCCTTCTAACCCTGGTGATATCCTGGCACATAAATTCTTGTTTTCTTGTGTTAGTGGCAAAATATGTCTTCACTGCAGAGAAGAAGGGTTTCTAATTTATGACATATTACATTTCAAAATTTGATTTCACTCTAAATCATCTGATCAAGTAAGACTGCTCAAGATTTCCTGTGAACTACAAATTTTTTGGAAGCTCCATTTTGAAACAGCAGAAAGTGTTCCTTCACTGACCACATGTGCCCCAGACCCTTATGGCCCTATAGCAGTATGACTGAAATTCTTAAATGTAGATAAATTTTGTTGAACAGCTGAATGCACTGCAAGGGTCTGTGGGACAAAGTCAGGGCTGCTGTGGTCTTGGCTCCATGGAAGAGCATGTCTATAGCTAATCAGGCTGCCCTGCATCCTGCCCTGCCTCTCCTTGGATGTGGGTACACCTGGGCTCCTGGGCTCCTTGATCAATTTTGTAGACCCCCTGATTTCTAGGGATGGAAGGTCACTCAGCCAAACAAAGGTTCTTGAGCTTGATTCTCTAAATATTAGTGGAAAAATATCAGTTACCTCTGTTTTTACTTTTTATAAACAGGCAGAGTTAATAGTGCTTTACCTATTCCTATGAGAATAATAATTCACAGCTGCCTTCTGTGAACCTGTTTAACCTCATCAGCTTGGCAGTGGGCTACGTGGACTGGACCCCTTGTGAAAATCGTCTTTAGTATCTTCTGTGCTCTTGTTTCAGAGGCCCAGGAAATCAGTTTGAACCATAGATTAGTTTGCAGAAATAGCAGTTAGGAAAAGCAAACAGCTTGGAAAATAACCATATTTGGTACTAGAGCTATTGAAAGACAGTAAACATGAAACCTACAGGTATTGGTTTCACGTGGTCTCTTTTCAGAGCAAAACTGTGTCATAAAAAGTGCTTTTTAGAAAGGGAGCATTTTTTTGATTTATATTATTTATTTTTACTCCTGACCATTATTTCTATGTTGGTTCATGATAAAGTGTATCATATCAAATAATAATATGGTATCATAGCAACATAAAGGAAACCAGTCTCACAGATTCTGGAGATGGTGATATCATTGTATTTAGCTAATGCAAAACAATTGTTGAGCTGACATCTTCAAATAGCTTTATTTTCCAGTTAAAAAAGTGGTGTTACTATCTGATATGACATTGTGCCTCTATGCTGCTTCAGGCTTCTTTTAAAGAGTCTCTAAAAGTCAATTCTTTTCTGTAATAACTGTACTGCTAAACAACTTTGTCATGGCCTTGACTCTTGAACTAGCTGTGCTGGAAAATATTTTTCTTTCATTTTAATGTCAGCCACCAAGCCAAAGCTGTGATTGTAATAACACTGAAAAAAACTGTGTACCAGCTAGCATTCCTGGTGTGCAATCTCTTTTTTTATGGAGTGGATGAGAGAACAGCTTTTTAAAAAACAGCTCACTAAGTTGTGTAACATTAACCAGGGTCATAATAACAGGAACTGAAGCAATATTCTTGATATATGCAAATGTTTCAAACCTCATCTTCCTGACCTGAAATACTCTAGTGTTACAGCTGGGTGGGAAAAAAAAAATCTTAGATATTAATATACTTCTTTCAAGAAGATGCAAAAATTAGCTAAAGTTCAGGCTGTGTAATTAAGTTTTCCTGAAGAATACCTGCCAGCATGTTCATATTCTCAATTTTTAGCAAACTGACAGGTATGGAAATAAAATTCTGCATTGTTTTCAGAAAGCAGCCCTTCCTCCCAAACACACTCCTCAGAAAATTACAGCAAGATAGGAAGAGTACAAAATTCGTGCACTGGAAATGGGACACGCTTTTTAAAAGGCATCTACGAGAACTCCAGAACTTTTACAAGCATTTTTCCACTGTCATTTTATATTTTCTCCAGAAATCTGTGTTTTTACTTTACCGCAAAAGCTGCTTTTGTCTCGGATGCCGTACGTCGCAGCTCCATCTAGCGGGGGAAGAGCAAAATAGGGAGAAGAAAATGGATGGTTTGAGTTTGCGTGAAAGTGAAACTGATGCCGTACACAGCCGTAACAGAAGGGAATGATGCCTGCCTTTAGCAACTCCGTCTCTAATTGCAGTAGCTCATCACTAAAATTTTTGCATTACTAAAGAGAAAAAAAGGACCTGTTCTATATTTTCCAAGTAATTGTGTGAGTCCAGAAGAGGGCCACCAGATTGATTAGAGGGATGGACTTCTCCTGTGACGAAAGGCTGAGAGAACTGGGTTTTTTCAGCCTAGAAAAGAAAAGGCTTTGGGGTGACCTAATTGCACCTTTCAGTACCTGAAAGAAGTCTGTAAGAAAGACGGAGAGGGTCTATTTACAAGAGCATGTAGGGACAAGGCAAGTGGAATAGCTTCAAGCTCACAGAGAGTAGGTTTAGATTAGAGATCAGGAAAACATTGTCTACTATGAGGGTGGTGACGCACTGGAACAGGTTACCCAGAGAAGTTGTAGATGTCTCACCCTTGGAAGTGTTTAAAGCCAGGTTGGATGGAGCTTTGAGCAACCTAGTCTAGTGAAAGGTGTCCCTGTCCACAGCAGGGGGGTAGGAACTGGATGATCTTTAAGGTCCCTTCGAAACCAAAACAAGCTATGATTATACTTTATGAAACAGAATTCTTTATTTTGTGTTTGATTATCAGAAATTGCCCATCTTGAACTCTGGCTGCATAAAATGGGCTAAAATATAAAAAGAAATAGAGAGAGTGCTTTACTAATTTGTTATTCTACAGCGAAAATTGCATTACGAACACTGTTCACAACTAGTTCTTTGGAGCCAACTAAGCTTCTACTCTCCAGATGAGAAAATATATTGCAACATGTGAACAGGTGAAACTTGAAAGGCAAATTCAAATACTCAGAAAAACAGTTATATGGAGATCAGGCAAAACAAGTACAGAGGTCAGTCAATCTGCAGCTGCAGGGAACAGGGTTCTAGACAAGAGCAAGAAGAGCCTTTGAAGTGCTCCTTGACCTGATGCGTATTATAATACTCTTGTGCTCTGTTTTGTACCTGAGACATATGCGCCCTGGAAAATTTTCCTCATAGGTGGATTTGCATTCTCCCTTGTGTTTGGACTGACTCAGGGAGGAAAGAACAGCTACCCTGGTCTGATTTAACAGGCAACATTGACTCAAACTGGATGGTCTGTAATCTTCCAAATATACACAAGAAGGCCTTGTGAACTCACCTGCTTCTTTCCCAGCTACGTCTTCACTTTAGCATGCTGCTGTGAAACATCACTTGACACCATGTCCAGTGCTCAAAGAAGACCTGAGGGGCCAGTGTAGAAGGGGCCCTTCTCACTGCCTGCAGCAGTGAGGCCTTTCCAGGGCCAGCGGCTGGCAAGGTGGGAGCTGGAGCGTCTCCATTTGGCGTTGCCCCCCACACTCCAGCCAACTAAAGCAAAACCAAAACAGGGACACTCAGAAATTACACAGACAAGAGGTTTCTTTGCTCTGAGAAGCCCACTGATCCCTCACCAGGAATTCTAAGGCAGACAGGTGTCATGGTACAGCTTGACAGGGCTGGACACAACCTACGATTCCCCACAGAGCTCCTGGCCACTACTGTCATTATCTGCTGGCTGCCTACTCAGGCAGAGATGTTTCACCTGCAGGATGTGAGCCAGGCAGGTGGACCTCTGGGAGTGTTCTTACCCATCACTTTTACTTTTGGGAAGAAAGAAATTTGGAGCAGCTTTTTTTTTTTCTCTCTGTCTAAAGAGACAGGTATGTGACTTGGTAAGGTTTGGAGACTTGGCAGGGAGACAGCTTTAAACCATATCACCTTATCTTTAGAATTTAAATTATTTCTGTATTTAATATTGATAAATCTAATTTGCAGCATTCCTGCTCCTTCTTTAACCTAGAGACAGGATTAACATTAATGAGATTTCTTTTATTGGTGTGCAAGAAATTCGGTAAGTCAAATTCACTTAACCTGTATTTGCATAGAATATTTACCTTTTCCATAATATCCTTAATTTTGTCAATACTGAAAGCAGATCATGACTTTGTTTTCAATGTTGCTAAAAAAAATTGTCAAACGGTTTTGACATTCAGCAGAGTACTATTCTTGTCCCGGCCCCCCAAGAAAATAACTAAAAGCCTTCAGCCAAGCATAATGTTGTTCTGTTCTGGCAAGCAAATTCTTGGTATCTTGTAATTTTTGAAACTGTAGCATTACCTGCTTTATTTCTATGCTGATAATGGTATACAGAGAGGATAGCATCTACATTTCTTGTGATTTAAAGCAAGTGCTCCCGGAAAAAATTAAGGGGTTTTATTAGTCACATTTTTTAGCTCATACTGAAATATTTTTTAAAATGGTTTTGTTTAAAAAGATCTAGATCATTTGTTCAATTATTAGGTAAATGGTTTGCTATGTTCCATCTCTGCTTGCTGTCACTGGGGGTAGCTTAGCAAATGGTGATTCAGTCCTTGGTCCAAAGCTCATTGTACTAAGTCTGCTCCAGATGTCATAAATACATCTTGTTGGGATGTTTTATTTCTCTCACTTCCCTGCAGGCAGCCCAGACTGGAATGGATTTATGTATTTTTATTTTGAGACTGTTTTTGCTGGAAGGCCTACTAAAAAAAAAACAGGCTTTGCATTTTGAGCGAGCTAAAGTTGCACACCATGTACATCTTTATTTAGCTAGTGAGTTGATTTATGCTCAGAAGTATCTGAAGTGGACTACCTTCAATACCCTTCAGACTCTGAGATATTTTTTCTCCTTTTCTTGTCCAGCTCCAAATAAGAACAGCTTGGATAAGTATCAGCCTCAGATTTTTGCTATTAAATTTTGATTATCTTTTTGTATGAAGAGTTCTACTGAGGCTGCATGGAGAGTATTCTGAGAGCCAAAAGTGCCAATTCTGTACAACATAATTGTTTCTGTGTCAGTGTATCCACTGGAAAAAAATCCCTTGTTTTATTTACCGTAAGGACTCTTTTAATAGAATACTCTCATTAGAATATTCCTATCACATCTCTTAAGAGGTATCTATATCCTCCAGCTGAGTAGAGTCTACAGAGATCCCTCTGAATGGACTGACATACTCAGATATATCAATCAAACAAAGCAGCATCAAGTAGAGTCCTCACTGTGTTTCAGAAAATAATACAGTTTCATTACAGAATCACAGAAACACAGAATTACAGAATGCTCAGGGTTGGCAGATAACTTGAGACCATCTAGTCCAACCCCCCTGCCAAAACAGGTTCACCCAGAGTAGATCGCACAGAATTGCATCCAGGTGGGTTTAAAATATCTCCAGAGAAGGAGACTCCAAAACCTCTCCAAGCAGTCTGTTCCAGTGCTCTGTTACCCTCACAGTAAAGATTCATCTCATATTCAGATGGAACTTCCTGGGTTCCAGTTTGTGCCTCATCCTCTTGACATCTGCCCTTAAGATGTTTGTATGCATTGATAAGATCCCCCCCAGCTTCCTCTTCTCCAGGCTGAACAGGCCCAGGTCATAGAATCATAGAATCATCTGGGTTGGAAGGGACCTCCGAGATCATCAAGTCCAACCCCTGATCCAACACCACCATGGTTACTAGACCATGGCACTAAGTGCCACATCCAGTCTTATCTTAAAAACCTCCAGGGATGGAGAATCCACTACTTCCCCGGGTAGACCATTCCAATGCCTGATTACCCTTTCTGTAAAGAATTCCTTCCTAATATCTAACCTAAACCTCCCCTGGCACAGCTTAAGACCATGCCCTCTTGTCCTACTGCTGGTTGTCTGGGAGAGGAGAGAAACCCCACCTGGCTACAATCTCCTTTCAGGTAGTTGTAGAGAGTGAAGGTTCCTCACCCTTTCCTCATAAGAGGTGCTCCAGTCCCTTAATCATCTTCGCTGTCTTCTGCTGGACCTGCTCCAGGAGCTCAATGTCTCTCTTGCACTGAGAAGCCCAGAACTTGACACAGCACCCCAGATTCAGCCTCCCTCGGACTGAGAAGAAGGGCAGGATCACCTCCCTCAGCTTGTTGGCAATGCTCTTCCTAATGCACCCTCAGGGTACCCTTGGCCTTCTTGGCCAAAAGGGCACGCTGCTGGCTCCTGGTTAACTTGTTACTTTAAGCAATACAGTTAATTACCATACTGCTGTGTTTACAGTAATCAGTCACAGAGTAGAACTGAGTCTACAAACCTGTGCATAGTGCAGTGTGGCGCCAGTACCGTTGTACGGGCTGGCGTTAGCTCTGCACCAGTGCTGTTTGGGCAGCGCCCCAGCTGTGCTCCTATACCTGTGAGGGACCTGCCCTGGCAGAGAGGGTTTGCTCTTGGGCATTTGATGGCTCATGAAACCAGCTGCAAAAGCCAGGGGCCAACCCTGCTCTGGGAATTCATTGCTCATTCTGTGGCTTGAGTGGGCGGGGCAGAGATATTTGCTCTGCTCTGTGGAAGCTCTGCTTTGTGAGCAAACTTATCAGTATAAGCTGAATTCAGTGTAAGCTGCTCTTAAAAATGAGGAAATTCAGGAATGTCTCTCAGGAGAGCTTTGTTAATACAATGTTTCAGCAGGCTAAATATGATTTAGTCACAAACTGAGTCAAAACCCTTAGTTTTCATTTTCCAGTGAAATTTTTGTCTCACTTTTTATAAAGACATACCCATTAGGACCTTATTTTGTCCCTTGCTACCCACTGGTGGTACCAAAGGAGGATAGTACTTAAATATATGATCTTCTGTTTTTCTAACATGCTTTAGAAAAGTCACCAGAAAACATCTAAATCATCCTCAAACATTGCCAAAGCCAGTTAAATTAGGTAGGGACATGTATATGTGCAAGACACTGCTTCAGATACTATTCATATGAAAGGAAGCATTTGTTTCAGTTCTCATTAAAAACGTTAGAAAGTGAAAGTAAATACCACTATAGAGAAGAAATTAAAAGAAATTCTGATTCTTCAGAACAAGGTGATCAGCTCAGATATATGTGTATGTGATGTTCTTAGAGCATAGAAGACTTTAAATGATAAATCAAATAATTTTATTTCTTATTCCTAGTGTCCTGGTTTTGTGGTATAGAGTTAATTTTCTTCCTAGTAGCTGTTACAGTGCTGTGTTTTGGATTCAGCATGAGAATAATGTTGATAACACATTGATGTTTTAGCTGTTGCTAAGTAGTGCTTACCCTAAGGCAAGGACTTCTCAGTGTCTCTTGCTCTGTCAGTGTTCAGGTGCACAAGAAGCCAGGAGGGAGCATGGCCAGGTCAGCTGACCTGAACCAGCCAAAGGGATATTCCATACCATAGAATGTTATGCCCAGTGTATAAACTGGGTGGAGTTGTCTGGGAGGGGCCTCATCGCTGCTTGGAGATGGGCTGGTAATCAGTCAGCAGGTGATGAGAAATCGTGTTGTGCATCACTTGTTTTTCTTGGCTTTTCTTCCTCTCTCTCTTTTCTGTCTCCTCCTCCTTCCTTCTTCTTCTTCTTCTTCTTTGTTTCAATTATTAAGTACTTTATTTCAATTATAAAGTACCAGTTACGTAGTGAGTATCACAATGACACGACATTCAAACATAGCTTCTATTACTTATTTTTTTATGCTGTGACAGCATACAAGCAGCACAGCCTGGTACATATATTAGGTATATGTGGAGAAGAGTCCATTTTCTTAGGAGAAATGTAGTAACATTCCTCTCTCACAGGAAAGTAACCTTGAACATCTGCAAATAGTCCTTTGAACCACAGCAAGTGGAGGAAAGAGACTGTTGTTAAAGAGGTAACATTTTTTGATGCATAGACGTGGGTGGAAGTATGGAACAAACTTGAGATTGTCAACTAATAAGTCATGATCATGAGCTCATAATTTATTTATAACATCCTCCACACTGGTTTTATTACTGTCCTGTGCAGCTTTCTAAACAAACACTATCAGCCTGTCTTTTGTTCCATCTGTGCTCAAGTATAATACTGTAAATGTCTTGTATGGGTAAATTAGAAGGCTTTTTAAACTATTGGAAAAATAAAATTAAATGCTAATCTTACAAAGTTGGATATTCTTTTCTAAGTTTCTCTTTAGAAGTAATTCTTTATATGCCTGCTTAACATATCAGGGCAACTGAGACTGCTGCTTTTGTTTGGCGTAATTAGGCTTTGGTGCCAACTTCTTTTATGCTGACAACATTGTGCCAGGTCCTATAAACAAACTGTTTTATAATAAATATAAAGATAATAAATTAAACAATAAATTAGGTAGCTTGGTTCCTGAATGCATCAGAGCAATATCTGTTACTTGATGTGCCACAGTTTATAATGTGTTATATGTTGAAATAGTCAAAAAAGCTAGAAGGTATTACGCATTCACTTTGAGGAGGAGAAAGACTTCAGCTGATCTTAAGATCGCACTTGTGACCCATAAGATAAACTCCGAGGGAG